ACCCTTGCCCTCTCCGAGGTTGAGCTGAGGCCCCAGAACGAATTGGGGTGAGAAGCCCGCATTAAAAATAGGGAAAGAGCGAGGTACAGGAGGCCCCCGCTCTCAGTCTCAGACGTGACCCCACAAGCTCTCCAACGACGCTTTGAAAAGGGAATGCGGACTGGCGAATACACCTGTGCAGGTTCTCACTTCCCCGGGGCACTCAAAAGCTGGAAGGGAGTGGACTGGGGACTAGAAGCCGAAGAGGCGACCCTCCCGTTGAGGTCCCTTTTGCGCCCACGGTGGTGGTGGTGGGAGTGAGGGGACCGCCTCCTTTCTTCCCGGCAGCGCTGTAAGGAGCGGGTGAACGCGCTGGCCATCGCCGTGATGAACATGTGGCCCGGGGTGCGCCTACGGGTGACCGAGGGCTGGGACGAAGACGGCCACCACGCCCAGGACTCCCTCCACTACGAAGGCCGCGCCCTGGACATCACCACGTCCGACCGCGACCGCAATAAGTATGGGTTGCTGGCGCGCCTGGCAGTGGAAGCTGGCTTCGACTGGGTCTACTACGAGTCCCGCAACCACGTCCACGTGTCGGTCAAAGCCGGTACAGTAGGGGATGGGTGGTGAGGTCCGCCCCAAGGTGCTCTCTCCGGGAAACTGAGGCTGTACAGTCCTGTTGCGACTCTAGGGGAGACCAAGGTGGGCGTTAGTGTTATAAACTACCCTTCCATTTCTGCCCAGGTTGGGGCCAGAGCCCTGGGAAACTTCAGTTGTCCCTGGACTGCTGAGGTCTGCGCTGGGCTTGACCCACACCTTTCAGAATCTGTACTAACATTCTGGAACCACTGGTCTTCATCTAATCCTCTCTACGCTTGTTCCCCTGCAGATAATTCACTGGCGGTCAGGGCAGGCGGCTGCTTTCCGGGAAATGCCACCGTGCGCCTGCGGAGTGGCGAGCGGAAGGGGCTGCGGGAACTGCACCGCGGGGATTGGGTGCTGGCGGCGGACTCCGCAGGCCGCGTGGTGCCCACGCCGGTGCTGCTCTTCCTGGACCGGGACTTGCAGCGCCGGGCCTCTTTCGTGGCAGTGGAGACCGAGCGGCCCCCGCGCAAGCTGTTGCTCACACCCTGGCACCTGGTGTTCGCGGCTCGAGGGCCCGCGCCCGCGCCGGCGGACTTTGCACCGGTGTTCGCGCGCCGGCT